AACCCAATCAGCTACTAACCTCAGCTTTTTAAATGAAGCTTTGACAATAAAACCAGGAAGTTGATTGGTTTCTAAGCAGAAGTGAGCCTGATTTTGCACTCTCCAGCTTTAGTAAATAAACCCCAAAATGTCTGATCAATCGCTCAGAAATTGTGGTCTATCCATTTAGATGTAACATCTATGGGGTAAATCTGTAACATTTTTCTATCTTTAGTCCCTGTAAATCTGTGTTTTATTTTCAGATGCAATCTGCTTGCTCTCTCCCTCAGGAATACAATGTTGGCTCTATCCTTCAGAAATGACTTCTCAAAACTGCTTTAATTTCCAGATGCAATATTCTTATTCAATTGTGGGGTTTCCTAAAAGGCTTAATTGTTGTGGTCAAATTTTTTACTTTTTATTATTATAATTTCAAACAATAAAACACAATTTTTTTGTCTTTAGATGCAAGATGCCAGCTCAATAACTCTGAAATTGTGACCTGACATAGTACCTGTAGTGCAATTCTGTTACATATTTCTATTTTTGGTCTCCGAAAAAAAGATGTTAATTTTCCATTGCTTTCTCTCTCCTCAAAAACTGCACCCTATTCAATAAAGCCTTATGCATATGTGAACCTTTACCCTATAAAACAACCCATTCAGTTGAAAATAGAAACACAAAGCAAAATTTTATGTATTGATAATGGGCTTAGAGAAGTGGGGATAGAGACAGAAATACACTGTGACAAGCTTGGCAGGGGGCGTGTCAGCAAGAGGCAAAGAGACAGAGGTACACTGATCTTTTCAAAGAAAAAAGAAGAGCTGTGTGTGTCTGTGGGGGGGGGGGGGGGTGTAAAGCACTAATCTGTCCACTGCAAGGAAGCTAACTGACTGGCAAGATCACAAAGGTATTTCACACAAAGGAAGCAGTGCAAAGAAAATAGGATACTTTTTAATACTAGTACTAAGTACTAATGCAAGCCTATACAATATTTATGTCTGCTGTCTTTGAAATATCATATTCTAAATATTATTTCTTGTAAAAATAGATGTATCTCTCCTTCTTATATTTCAGTCCTGGTCTTAATCATAATAATTAGATAGTCTCCAGCCACTGTGCCATGTTTGGCTGTTGTCTCTGAAACTGGCATTTTTTTTTTTTTTGGCATAACAATTACCCTATCTCTGAATTGTTTGTAGTTTGAGGTGTTTTAGGGCACTCTGGGTTGACATTATATTATACTCTGTACACAATACAGTGTGCCACTATATGGTCGTTTTAACACTGATTGGCAATTTGCATGAAGTTGATAGCTTTATTATATACTTTCCAATACATGTTGGTTATATTGTCTCTGCTATTTTCACTGTTTATTATGGCTTATATCTGTGGCACGAAAAAAAAAACAATCAGTGGTCTTTTGTCTTTGCAAAGATTTTTTTTTTTAAGAAAATCAGTCATATTGGGTTGCTGCTGCTGTATGTGAGCCATTACTTAACGTAAGAGTAAACTAAATTATTTCACATGCAATTTATGTGAGAATCCAGCAACACTGTAATGACTATATTACTAGTGGCAAGATACTTGAGTATTAACCCTTTGATGCCAACCGCACGTAAATTTGCAGCCTCACAGAACTGGGCTTTTTTTTGTGGGGCTGCTAATTTGCGTACCTGTCTTTCTGCTAGGAGAGCGCTGCATGGCGTGCTTCCAGCACAAAGACCAGAGTATCAATGAGAGCTCCAGGTCCCTTTCTAACGATCGGGACCCAGAACCCCTGAATCCAGGTCACCTGATCGCTGTGATAGCCTTTGATTGGCTACCACAGTGATCAGTTACTGTGAAGCCAGCCTCCCTTGTTTTCTCTCTCTCTATCCTTTCAGAGAGGAAAAAAAAAAACAAATGTGTGTAAAAAAAAATAAATAAATAAATACATACATAAATAAAAATAATTAAAAAATAAACAAAAATACCTAGATCAAGGTTTGTGCCAGGGTTAGTGCTTGGGTCAAGATCAGGGTCAAAGATCAATGTCAAGGGTCAGGGTGTTTTTTTTTTTCTGGTCAGGGTTTTTTTTTTTTAAATTAGTATTAGTGTCAGTTAGTGGCAGGATAAAAAAAAGAAAATTGTGCACTCTTGTTTCTGGGTTGTACTATGGGTTGTTCTTTGGTGGTAAGTTATGGCAGTAGCAAGAAATATACATCTAAATTTAAAAAAAAATAAGTTTTTTTTTTTACTATTTTGGGCAGATTTCCTTTGATAATAATGAAAAAAAAAAATCAGGAGATATCCATTACCATTTACCACCAAATGAAAGCCCAATATGTCCTAAAAAAACAAGTATAATTCACCTGGATGTACAAAGTAGTGATGATATGTACGGTTTTGCTAACACATGTCACAGCTGCAAAATTGTGCTTAGGTGTTAAGATTTTTTTTACCCTTAGTCACAAAGGGGGTAATGTTGAAAGAAAATTGAATAGGTGTCTGATATACTGTAAAATGTCATACCAATATTTTATGTAAATACTTTTTTTCAATATGACAACAATACATTCAATATGACTTTACAGAATCTCATGGTGTGTAATATTATGGTATACAAAAAGTCCCTTTCTTATATGTTTTTAATTATGAATAATATTTTGATTTTGGATGTAGATATTGAATGATATGTTATGAATAGGCATATATTCTTATTCCCAAAACATTTTCTGTTACTACAAGATAGATGCCAACTCATGCACTGCAAAATGTAGTCAGAGTGCTTTCCCTGTAAACTGATGAGCATTTAGGAGGTCAATTGCTAAGATTAGGTGTCACCGGTATGTCCATGTTCACTAGCAGTCCACAAGACCACAGGAGGTGAGGCAATGGGAGTGCATAAAACTGCATGCTCAGCATAGTTTTATCATCTTCATTAGGCTTCCAAGCTACAGAGCACAGCAAGGGCAGTAAGATCAAAAGATTATGTTAAAATTGTTTGACAGGCACAACAGTTCTTATACACTGTAAGCAGTTCAGCTACAAATTTTACTGTTTGGCTTGAGCTGCCATTCAAATTCAAGTTTAGCTGTAGTTGACTTTTAAATTCTCAAAAGTGAAGCATTTGCATATATAGAGAACTCTAAACTATAGTTATTTCACATATCACAGCCTGTGATTTAGGTCCCTTCAATTAAGTTGAATTAAGTATCTGTACAATTACATGTTTGGGGAAATGTATAGTTGTGTATTGCTACATATTCATTTGCATTGCATGGCTTGATACTAACTGATTAGGAAATGCTATATTATCAGAAAAATGTCAGTGTTTAAATTAGAGAGTATGATGCACCCAAACAAACGTGTGTAATAAGATTATTTCAAGGTGCATGGAGCATTGCTAAACATACACTATATTGCCAAAAGTATTGGGACGCCTGTCTTTACACTCATATTAACTTTAATGGCATCCCAGTCTTAGTCCGTAGGGTTCAATATTAAGTTGGCCCACCCTTTGCAGCTATAACAACTTCAACTCTTTTGGGAAGACTGTCCACAAGGTTTACGAGGGTGTCTATGGGAATGTTTGACTATTCGTCCAGAAGCACATTTGTGAGGTGAGGCACTGATGTTGGACGAGAAGGCCTGGCTCGCAGTCTCCACTCTAATTCATCCCAAAGGTGTTCTTTCGGGTTGAGGTCAGGACTCTGTGCAGGTCAGTCAAGTTCCTCTACCCCAAACTCACTCATCCATGTTGTTATGGACCTTGCTTTGTGCACTGTTGGAACAGGAAGGGGCCATCCCCTAACTTTTCCCACAAAGTTGGGAGCATGAAATTGGCCAAAATGTCTTGGTATGCTGACTCCTTAAGAGTTCCCTTCACTGGAACTAAGGGGCCAAGCCCAACCCCTGAAAAACAACCCCACACCATAATCCCCCCTCAACCAAATTTTACACTTGGAACAATGCAGTGAGGCAAGTATCATTCTCCTGGCAACTGCCAAACCCAGACACATCCATCGGATTGCCAGACAGAGAAGCATGATTTGTCACTCCAGAGAACACGTCTCCACTGCTCTAGAGTCCAGTGGTGGCGTGCTTTACACCACTGCATCCAGCGCATTGAATTGCACTTGGTGATGTAAGACTTGGATGCAGCTGCTCGACCATGAAAACCCATTCCATGAAGCTCTCTACGCACTGCTGTTGCGCCAATCTGAAGGATACATGAAATTTGGAGGTCTTTAGATATTGACTCTGCAGACAGTTGGCGACTTCTGAGCATTGTGCGCTTCAGCATGCGCTGACCCTGCTCTTTTGTTTTTACATGGCCTACCACTTCAGGTTGCTGTTGTTCCCACTTGCTTCCAGTTTGTTATAATACCACTAACAGTTGACCGTGGAATATTTAGTAGCAAGGAAATGTCACGGATGGACTTATTGCACAGGTGGCAACCTATCACGGTATCATGCTTGAATTCACTGAGCTCCTGAGAGTGACCCATTCTTTCACAAATGATTGTAGAAGCAGTCTGCATGCCTAGGTGCTTGATTTTATACATCTTTGGCCATGGAGGTGATTGGAACACCTGAATCCAATGATTTGGAGGGGTGTCCCAATACTTTTGGCAATACAGTGTATGTATGATGATCTCACAGTCCATTGCAACAGTGGCTTTCTGGTTATTGATAGGTGATGTATAAATACAGCACGTTAACTATATAAAATGAGTCTCTCACTGATTTAAATCATTCTATAAAATACACACAGCCATTAGAGTTACAGAATTACAGACATAGCTTGTTTATAAACTGTTTATACTGTACTGTGTGTCACAAAATTTGTTACATGAAGCTAACGAAAAACCACTAATGAACAAAATCTGCAGGGAAGACAGTTAATTATGGAAAATTGTATCGCTGTATATTGAATTAGTGCCTCATATCCACTAACTGGTTTGGAAGTATACAGCAATTAGACCTGCAATAATTACATAGAATAGTTTCTTACTTCTCTAGCCTTCTCCTTTCAGCTCTGTCTGGACCTGGACTTATCCAGACTACAGAACACTGTATGAAATCCACCAAACGATTCCTGGCAAAACTGTCTGACGTCACTGATCAACTGGGGAACGTAAATGTGCTCAAGCTCATGAGACTCATCATGTTTGACACCTCTAACAACCTCTTCCTAGGAAATTCCTACAGATGGTATGTAAGCCAGAACATCTGTACTGAACCTCACAATAATTGTGTGCCTGTTTCACAGCTCAGCTTTCACACTTTGCTGCTCTGGACATGCTTTAGTATCTTTCCTAGAAAATAATGGAACATCTCCAGGGGGTCTTCAGGGTCTCTGGTGCTGGCCAACATTTTCTATGGCAGGTGCCAGTGCATGTACAGAATAGCAGGAGTGGAAAACTAAGCTATGGGATTGAAGTAATCTGCTATAAGACTAAATATTAAAAATATGCATAATCTCTAGATATTTTTGATCAAGGTTAAGGAGGTGCCTAGATTTTTTTCAAATAAGCACTGACAGTGATGGGCTTTGGACGGGAGATATATTGCACCACTATTTGGGCGGTGGTCCCTTTAAGGGAGTTCAAGAGATGTTTTAATTATTTAGGGGTTCTCTCCCATGCAGGATGAGGGGTTACAGGGTAGTGCAGTTGGTGAGAAGAGGACTGGTTTATGGTTCTTTCAGAATCTGTAAGTCCTCATTTGGAACCCAGAATTTGGAGGCTCAGAGGCACTTTGGTTGGGAAAAAGCCTCCAAACCCTGATTACAGGGTCTGTGGTCCCAAAAGAGGTAACCTGTCTGTATCAGAGTCCAGAAAAAGAAGAGGAAACAGCCAGCAGGTATCTGTGAGATAGAGTGGAGTGGTCACAGTTATGAGCACATGTGGACTGTTTGGCAACTGAGAGTCTGTTTTCTGAACCCCTGCACCCTTTACAGAACCCTGAAATAGACAGGAACCCTTAACCCTGGTATGGGATTGTATTTTGGCGGTGGGATTGTATTTTGGCGGTGAGCCATCATATTGTTTTGCATGAGACCAGGTTTATGTATTGTTTACGTTATTTTTTCTTAAGAAAGCTGTTTCTTTTGCTTGTTTTGTGAAGTCCAATAAAGACTGTTACTTTTACAAGTGGCTGGATAGTGATTTTGAGCTTTCCATGTTGCAAAGTGCATTAACATTACAAGCATCACTATGTTCTAGACATATTGATGCAAGAGGAAATGTGGAACATAAAAACTGTCTGTAAATAAATTACTAAAGGTTAATAAATATAATTATACAGAGCAGCAGGCTAATACATGCAAAGGAGACAGGCATATTTATTAAACTGAAATATTTGTGCTTCTATTAAATCTCACTTGTCAGTTTTTGCCTCTGCTGTTCATGGGATTTATGCTGTTAACAGCCCTGGGAGTTGGAGAAAAAGGTTGGTGTGTAAAGATGATGCTAAAATGCTCACTTGCGCAGCAGTGAAGGTGTAGCTTATATGTGCAGCAGGGAGCAAGTGGGATCAAGCACAGTGGGTCTTCCTTAGGAATCGATGTTAAAGTCATTGATTCACTCTTTGAAATGGTGAACAGTTTAAGAGCCATTGTGGACAATTAAATGAGTTTATAGAGCTGCACAGCCCAGCTACTACAAAAGATTGTGTCGTTTTTTCTTTGGGATCTTCATGGAGAATTCAGAGGTTGGGCTGGTGGTGGGCAAATGCAGCTTATTTTGGTGAATCTGTGGTCAAATCCAGGTGGAAATATTCTTTTTGACTATGGCAAAATGTTTTATGTAATTGAGTTAGTAAAAACTGCTTGGTAAAATTATCATCTACCATTACTTAACTACTCAATGAACAAAGATGTAATAGGTAAATCCTGCAGGACTTAAAGTGTTACTAAACCCATGAGCCTGCATTCACTATATCTGGTCTCCCACAGTACACAGAACATGGAAATGCAATTATTTTAGTAAATATAAACTGCTAAATACTTCTTCTCATCAGCAGTATATAGCAGTCTTGTGACTTCTATCAGTGTCTGCCTGAGCACTGGTTAATCTTGTAGGAGTTTTCATTCTGCTCTGACTGTTCTATGAGGCTGCATAACCCTTGATCCTCTGTCTGGACAGTGTTGAGTGGCACCATCCCAAAGAAAACAAATCTCTATCAATAAACACTAAACTGAACATGTGCAGAGTGACTCCTAGAGCTATCAGCAGATGGATTGGGGACAGTAGAAGAAAGGGAGGATCAGAGAAGACAGGATCAAACAACCTTCTGCAGAGGATTAACCCCTTAGGTTCCACAGTAAGTATAACAAGCATGCTGTACTGCATATATGGACTGATTTCACGGTTGTGGGTTTAGTAACACTTTAACCTCCCTGGCGGTATGATTATTTCAGATTTTTGGTGCTGAAAGCGGTACCATTTTTTTTTGCATGGAAATATGTATTTTTTTTATTGTAGGCTGTAATTTTTAGGAAAAACTCACTGAAATCTGTCCGAACAAGAGTCTAGTAAACATCCCGGGTATGATAAAATTTGAAACACAAAATCATAAATTATAATTTAATAAATAGTCATAAAAAAAATATAAAAAATAATAAAAAATTTAATTCAATAATATAATCAAACCAAAAACACTGAAATGTGAAATAGAGCGCCAAGTTCGCACATTGCTGAGCTCAGTCGTCGCAAAATCGTTTTCAGTTTCTGATGACGAATTTCCCCACGAATCATTATCACTCAATTCTGCAAGTGGTTCTGATTTACTATCGCTGTTCTCTAGCTGATCTAAACCGCTTTTGACCTAAAGGGACACTTTTTGGACGCCATGGACATTTCTCAGTTTCCAGGCAGAAAGAACAGACAAAATGCAGGCAGGGCGCAGGACAAAGCACTAGGGACAAAATGTATGTGAAATAGGTTGAAACAGCAATGTTTTACTGTGTAAAATGAAAAAAAAAAAAATGACATTTTTTAAAATTTTTAAATTTCCCGCCGCCGGCGGCGCCCGTACGTCCCGACGTCACAGGGACAGGACACAGAAGCCGGATGCCGGCATCGGCCGGAGGAGATGGCCGGGGACGCTGCAGGGGACACATCGTGGGAGCGCAGGGTAAGGTAAGTGAAGAACACATGCCGGAGAGCAGCGCCGCATGGTATTCCCGAGTGTAGCTCGGGGTTTACCGCTTTTGGTACTGAAATGTTACCCCGAGCTACACTCGGGAATACCGCCAAGGAGGTTAAAGCAATATTAAACCTAAAAAGCAAGATTTCAATATATTGCAGCTTAACAATCCTTAAATATGAAGGCTGTATTTGTTATCTTTTTAACTCTTTTTTTCACTTGCTGATCTGACCAGTAATACACTTCCTGTGTTAAGGGTGGCTTCTCTATCTATGGAGGAGCAACAGAGTCACCCTTAGACAACAGCATTGCAGCATTGGAGAGGGTTGTGTTAGATGGGCTATTAGATTTAGAAGAACCTTACATAAGTGACTAGCAAATTAAAGTCTAACTCCCCCCAAACACTCTTTAGAAAAAAAATAAGTATGGACTTGTAAAAAAAACCACACATTTATACTCACCTAGGTGGATGATGCTGATCACTCAGTTCTCCTCTCCGCTATGACTGTTAGTCACCATCTCTCTGCTTTGCCCCTCCAGAGGGCCAGGCTGTGGGAGGGTAGGAGGGGCTGGCTCAGGCTCTCGGCGGATCACTGAGAGGCTGGGCCAGCTGCCGCTTGAGGCTTCTGGGTGGATCCCAACCATATGGTCAGAATCTTTTCAGAGCCTGGACTGGCTCTGCGACATTAACTGGCAGCGAACTTTAGCCCACTGTCGGCTGAAAATGGGTCACAGGAGTGCAGAATGAACTGCACTCCTGTGACCTACAGAAGTATAGCCAAAATAGCTTTGGCTATACGTCTCCTTTTAAGCAGGTACAGTAACTTTTTAATTTTGGGATAAAATAAAGGTTTTGTATACATGAATAAAAACTGACCAAGCACCCTTGTCAGTGTCAATGGTTTCTCTCAACCCTCTAAATTCCACTTTGGTTGCACAGCTTGGTCTTTTAAAGGAAAATGAACAATAACAGCAGGATCAACAAATAAAAAAAAAAAAAAAAAGTTACAGGAGGTTCTCAGAAAAACAATAGCTGCTTGGTTAATGCTGGTGACAGACTGCATCATATCTGTAATTTTTTTTGCCTTTATTTCACATTAGTTAAACCTCCACATAGTGCCTAATATGCAGTACATTTCTCCTCATCCCAACAAGCTGTCTCCCACGCGTGCCCTATGCTGGGACCCTTTCTCAGTTTCATAGTTAAGGTCCTGGCCTGAGTCCAAGAGCCTCAAGAGTCTCATTCATAGACACAATATAAGTATTTTGTTACATAGTAATTAGTTACAGCTGTTGCATGCAGATAGCTAGATGCTCATCATTATCTGCAGTGAACCTGAAATGCGTATTGTTTTTCTTTTTTCTGAATAGAAATAATTTCCTATTTTATCTTTTCTCATCATACTAGCCCTGTCTGAAGTGAAATTGAAATGGCATGTGGTCATCTCATTAGCTCAGTCCTACACAGTGCAGGAACTGGCAGTGGCCATGTGCAGGCAAGAGAGGCTCATGTTCTATTCGCATCCCCCCCCCCCCGCTTCCTAGCAGAGAACCCAAGATGGGGGCCTCTTCTGCCTCTGCCTTGGCCTGTCCCTGTGTGCTCCAACTCTGAAGTCAGGGTACTACAACCCATGAAGTCTTATATTTACTTTTGTGTGATTGAGGATGATATTCTGTAGTAGCTCGACCTCCCATCTTTTATTTAATTAGCTGACAGCTCAGTCCTGCTCAATGCAGGAGATGGCTGTGGTTATGTGAAGGCAAGAGCAGCTCATGCTCTCCATCTACCGTCCCCCAGCAGAGCACCCAAGGTGGGAGCCTCTCCTACCCAGGGATGAATTTAACACGAGGCAAACAAGGTGTTTGCCTTGGGCAGCATTTTTAAGGGGGTGCCACAGCCCCCCCCTTCCCAGGGAGAAAAGACTCACATGGCAAGTGACAGAAGATGGAACCAGTGGAGGCACTGCCTGAGCTCCACCATGGGATAGGCGAAAGGCTGCGGACCTCTGGAGGGTGTAGGTAGAGGCTGACTCTTGTTCTCACACAAGGACGACACTGGGGAAGGCTGGTTGATTTAGTTCCGGAGAGGTGCAGAGGATTGCTGGAAGAACGCATCTCTCTGTCTGTGGCTCTGGGGATGGTCGGCTGCTTTCTCCTTTCTCTCTCTTTCTTTCTCTCGCCCCTCTTTTTTTTTAAAAAAAATTAATTGGGCTTAGGGGGAAGGGGGAAACCCAATTTTTGTCTTTCCTAAGGCAGCACAAAAACAAAATACACCACTGCACCTACCTCTGCCTTGGCCTGGCCCTGCATGCTCTGACGTTTATAGTTCTGTGTATAAAATTTACATAGATTTTTCACTGCTAGAAACAACAGGCATTTTTCATCAGATGGTAGGGGGAGATAGCAAAAAAATAATCTAGTGCTACAACTGCTGAAAATGTGTGGCCTTCATTTATTACCCTTGGTATCCTCTGCAAGTTGAGGTTTCCTTCCCCCCCCCCCCTCCCGGCACATTTGTCCCTTTTTCCCCCCTTCCCACATTTTTTTTCTCATTTTTTTTTTTTCTGCATTGTCAACATCAAAAATGTTTTTTTGGACAAAGAGCATCTGGCTTGTCACCCTGGCAGGCAGCCAGCTTCGAAACTTTGGTTGCTCGATATGGGGACCTTGTCTTTTTGTCATTTATTAAAAATTATATAAAAAATGTACAATTAAGGCCTATATTATATGTAATTTGTTAATATAAAAAATCCAATTATTGTAGTCTATATCTCAGGTCTTTGATTTTTTTATTTCTCTTTGTTTTAATGTTTTTGTTGGCCTGTATATGCTCCCTCAGCTGTGTCTGAGCTGCCTTGTGCTGATTAAAGTGGCTGTACACTAAGATTGCTAACCCATGTCTTTTGCAAAACAAAGAATGTAAAAAAAAAATATTGCAATATTTAGCCGACCGAAAAGAAGAAAAAAAAAATTAAAACAGTAGTAAAAAAAGATGGGCCCCAGGAAGTTTAAGTCATAATGTGCTTGTATGTACCGCATACTAGCACATTATGATAGATTTACCTGAAAACGAAGCCCTCCGGGAGCACGCTGTCACCACTGTAGGTGCTTCCATCTTCACCTGATCTTCCTTCCGGGTTTGCGGCTTTGGAGGTATAAATGTCCAAGTCGCGATGACGTCACTCCCATGCATTCATGCTGGAGTCGCTGGGTATGCCATTCCTTCAGAGCACATGCACCAATGATGTCAATGGCTGCTTCTAAAGTAAACATCTCCTAAATGGTGCACGTTTAGGAGATATTTACTATACAGATAGGTAAGCCTTATTATAGGCTTACCTATAGATAAAAATCAACCAAAGAAGTTTACTCCCACTTTAGGCCCAATTCCAGAAAATCTGAAAAGTCTCCCTTGCATTGTGGCTGCGTCTGCATTGCAAGGGTTATCTGCTAATTTAGGTCTAGACAAAGCAAAAGCACCTTTACTTACCTGATCTTCCGCTCCAGCCATAGACTGTCCCTTGGCATCCTCACATCCAATGGAGGGCTATGGGCCCTGCATCAGTCTTAATGATTCCAGTGCCTTAGAACACTGGAGAAGATGCTGCCAAAATCAGTCTAACAGCATAAAGGAATGGAAGATCAGGTAAGTAGATCTACTTTTTATGGCCCCTAGACCTAAATGAGTAGTTAACTCTTGCAGTGCAGGTGAATCCCACTGCAAGGGAACATTTTCAAGTTGAAAGAAAGAATGAAGGAAAGAAATAAAGAAAGATAGTTCAACTATTTTATTTTGTTCCCCTTATAAACACTGCAGAATATATATTCAAGAATGAAGAGAGAGCTTCAGAAAACCACTTGTGCTAAATGCTTATGGTTTCTAAAGTGTATCAAAGATAATAAAATACAAAATAATAATTAGAAGTATCACAAAAAGAGTCACGCATTTTATAATGAAGTACAATCAATAGAATTAAACTTAAAGTTTACCTAAAGGCAAAACTTTTTTTTTGTGGTCTATGCCCCTGTTGGGGAGATTCACCTTCTCTTATTGACCTGTTTACCATTATCACCGAAAGTGAAAGTAAAAGTAAATCCTGAATTTTGAGTTGTCCCCAGAACAGGAATAGTAGGGATCTTCCAATGGGAACATTAGTTCTGGTAACCCTATGACAACCAGAGATTTCCTCACTTTGGAGGGATTTTCTGTCACTTCCTGTTTTGGCTGTGGGACCGGAAGTGATGGGAAATCTCCCCGATGTGACTCAGTAAAAATGAACCTTGCAGGGTTCTTACTCTATCCAAAAAGGTTTGCCTTTGCTTCTACTTTAAAATACCACACATATAAAAGGGAAGCCACAATCTGACTGCTTACCATCCTTGATATTTAATATCCAAACCTTACAGGTTACTTTTAGACTTCATTTTCAATCAAAATGACTTAAGCTGAATGTTCATATGAAAATTCTCATCACATGCCATAAAGCCAACAGAGACCTGATGAATGTCATTTGAAAACAAACAATGATTTCACCCCAGTAATGACTGGAAAATCATAAGTATAATCTATAAACAAGTCTGCTAGTGTATGGTCAACTTTGGGTATGATAATATTTTAAAAGAGAAGTACGGGCTGTATAAAAAAAAAAATTATACTCAACTATGTGGATGCAGGACCCAATGCTGCATTTGTCCCTTGCGGCTCTGTCCAGAAAACTGAGTGATCAAAGACCGTGATCACTCAGTTCTCCCCCTCCATTCTGAGTAGACAGCCAGGACTGTCAGTCTCCAGCTCTCTGCTCCCCCCCCCCCAGCGCTCATTGGAGCACTGTGCTGTGGAGGGGGAGGGAGGGGCTGGCTCAGGCTCTCGGCAGATCACTAAGAGGCTGAGCCAGGTTCCGGTCCAGGATTCTGGACGGATCCCAACCATATGGTCAGGATCTTTTTAGAGTCTGGACCGGCTCTGTGATGTCAGCTGACAGTGGGCTTCAGCCCGCTGTCAGCTGAAAATGGGTGACAGAAGTGCAGAACTAGCTGCTTTGGCTGTGCTTCTCCTTTAAAAACCTAGTCATAGTCATTGTCCATTGTAGAGATATTTGGTGGAATCAAACTCTGCACAGTTTGTTTGCAAAGATGTTTCAACTGCAATGCCCATATTTTTATTGAAAATTAGCAGTATCCATACAGAATGACAGCAACTCATATTCATATTCAGTATCAAAATCAATACAGAAGAATACCTAGTTATATGTTATCTGTTCCTTTGTTGATTGTTCATTCCAAAGATACGTTTAAGCAATTTTAATTTCCCCTCAATGTCCATTATTTAGGAGAGGATATAGTCTTTAATTTTATTTCCCTGAGCTGAGATCACAATATTGTACATAAGAAAAGAAATTGCATGTGTGAATGTTTGGACATGGCTTACACACAGTTTAATTGTACATGTTGGTTTTTTTCAGAAAATGAAATTGTCCTGAAGATCCAGAAATACTTTGATGCATGGGAAACCCTTATCCTGAAGCCTGACATTTTCTTTAAATTTTCCTGGCTCTACAAGAAATATGAGAAATCAATCAGCGTGAGTTCTTAGTGTCTAAACAAAGGTCTTCCCACAGTGAATGTAACTATACCAATTTAAAAATAATTACACCAGTTCTGAAAGTAATCTTATTTTTGTGTCCCTAGAAATGACTTGAAAGAGGCTGTTGAAATTCTCATTGAACAGAAGCGGCAGGGGCTTTCAGCTTCAGACAAACTGGATGAGCATCTTGATTTTGCTTCTGAGTTAATCTTTGCACAGGTGTGTAGAGTTTAAAAGTAAAAAAAAAAAACATGATTTAATGGGCTTGATTTACTAAAAGCAAATAGTCTGTTCACTTTGCAAGTTAAATTTCTCTTTGCAAAGGGAATTTTCCCCAACCTTAGCAAATGTGATGAGGCTCTTCTGACTATCAATCATGTTCAACCTTTGAATATTCTTTACAAAGTGAATTTTTTTCTTACATTCACTAATATAAGGGAAAATACCCTTGCAAAGTGAACAGCATGTTTGCCTTTAGAAAATCAACCCAAATGTATTCCAAGAGATCAGCATAAATCCCATCCACTCAGTAACTAAGTCCACTTGATTCAATCTGAATAATTTGTGTGAAGTTAAGCTACCTCCTTGAATCACCATGAGCACAGCTAAAGAGGCAATGTGAGACCATCACTTAAATAATTTCTGTCTAAGAAATCCTCGATGAGAGTGCAAGCAAAATCCTACACAAAAATACAGTATTATAATTTATTTGTTCATTTAATAAAAGGTGTCAGTGATAAAGTGTTATTGAACTTTGAAGTTTTTCTGATGTAGAATCATGGAGTACTAACAGCTGAGAATGTGAACCAGAGCATTGTAGAAATGTTGATTGCTGCTCCAGACACAATGTCCGTGTCGCTCTACTTCATGCTAACCCTGATCGCTCAGCATCCAAAGGCTGAAAAGATGATCCTGGATGAAATCCATGCTGTTGTTGGTAAGGATTATCATTGTTGTACAATAGAACATTCATTTGTTTCATAAATATATGGATACAACACAATTTTTGTGGATAAGAACTCATTGGGGTTGAGTTACTAAAGGCAAATAGACTGTTCTCTTTGCAAGGGAAGTTTTCTTTGCATGGGCATTTTCCCCAGAGCTTTCTTTTTTTCCTTTTTTTTTTTTAATAAATGTTTGTTAGAACATCAAGAAAGCAGTTCAGTGTCATATGTGTTACCAATCATATATAAAGTAACATAAGAGAGGCACAACTTAGTTTAGCACCAAATGTTTGAGAAGGCCAAGAATGATAGCAATAACATAGGTTATAAAGTAGGACCACAAATGTAACACCCATAATTACATGTAACAGTATTTGTTGTCAAGTTTTATCAGTTAATAAGTCAGGGAAAGGGAAAGGGAAAGAGGGGGATGAAGAAAAAGTAAAGAAAAAAGAACGGAGAAGTGGGTTGAGAGAAGAAGAATGTCAAGGAGCTATACTTTCCCAGAGCTTTCTGAATGAGGTGAAGCACTGCTGCCTTCCTTCATCCAGCCATGTGTAAGCAAAATGTTGTTTTTTTATTTATCTTGCACATGAATGATTAGCTATTCCTTGCAAAGTGAACTTTCACCACATTCACTAAACTCTGAGGAATATTTCCATGCAAATTATAACTTTCCTTACAATGTGAACATCCTATTTGCCTTAAGTAAATGAACCCCATTCTCTGTAATTGTAGTTCAGTTTATTACAGATCTTTTTGGGGAATCTCAGCCTTCTATATTATCCTCATTGTTGTCTGCTGGTTGTAAAATGCCCTTTTAGTACAATAGCTTTTATTTTTCAATAGGTGTTTTATTTTTATCTTTCAGCATCTGAAACATTCAAAAGGGGGGCAGTGTTTTTTTCAGGCATAGCTATCTAGCTAATAAAGTTGAAAAATGACTGCTGTCCATCAGGTTTCACATCTTGCATCTCTTTCAGCTGTGGTCCAGAGGAAGGCAAAATAAAACCCTTAGGCATCTGTTGACAATTCTCTGTTGCTTTTTTTGTCAACTCCCTGGATCTAAATATTCATCTATTAGTCTCATTATTGTGTCTCCAAACATTATTGTGCATTCCTCAGCTTGATCACTCCTTTTATAAAGACCCCCTTCCTAAAGTGAAGAAAACCCTTCTTTCTTTCATGCCCAGATGACGTTCCATTGTCCTTTGCCCAGTCCCAGAGGTACAAAAAATATTTTCAGAATCTTCTGACCTTCACAATATGTATGCATATAGATAAGTTCCCTCTATGGCATCATTTTTCCAAACTGATTGTACTCCATTATTTCTAGTCTTTGATTTCTTTTACATTGAATGACAGGCAAACTATTGGAATAACAGAGGCTAAAGCTGTGAACCAAATTAGCTCATGAAGCCTCAAGCCTCCCTCCTCATATTCCCAAACTGCTTCCTGGGCACCAGACTGCCCTTCAGTCTTCCTGTCCCAGGCCAAGGTTCTAATTTTTCTTCTTTGGGTCCTTTCCTCTGAAGACACTAGCTTGGTGCTGATTAATACATCAGAGGGCCACACACTTAGGGGTACTTGTTCTGTAAACATTGTGTGCTGGGATGACATTCCCTGTAAAGAGTGTACACATTTTTATATGGAAACTATAAAAATGGTGTACTGGGAGAAACAAATCATAAAATATAAAAATGTAATTATACAGAAATGAAAATATACAAATGGTGTACTGGAAGCTGTAAATCATTCAATATGTGCAGATATCTAGTATCCTTGAATTGTCCCACTTCAAGATTTCAGTTCACAAGATCAGTTTGCTCATTTCTAATCATCATTTAGAAGTTTGTTGGAAGTGGAAATCAAAAAACAATTTTTTTTATTTAAAAACTATGTTAAATTTAACACTAAAAGCTGCAAAAGTGACTTTGTCCTATTTAATGACCAATAAGTGCCTCAAGGTGGCCATTATGTCACATTATATCTTTCTAATCTTTGTGTTGTCATTCAAAGCAATTCAGTAACAAAAGTCCAGTTTTGTTCTGTTTATAAAAAGCTTGTTGCATTTCTTTACATACATTTAAAGATTGTAAGCCCAGTTAAGGATAAAAGCCATACAAATATTTTTGTTCTTTAAAGGAAATGTATTGTATCATAGAGGAATGTTTCCATCTCTCTAGTAAAAAATAATTATCTAGTAATGCAACAGAGGAAAGGTACAACTGAGCACCTCCACCAAAGACCATCTTTCTTAGCATGGTTCATTTCAGACTCTACTTTAGATCTACACCTTACATCACTGATGCCATCCATGAAAGTTGAGGAGCTGTTAGTAGTGAGTCCCAGAATCTTTCCCTCCTTAGTAAAAAAAAAAGTATTCACGATCAGAGAACATCTTTATAAATAGGAAGTAAAAATATCTGGGTTTTTGAAGTGTGCATATTTGTCAGATGAACAAGATCCTCACCCCACTTTTCTCATTTTGGATAGTGTAGGGGAGGGTTATTATTATTATACAGTATTTATATAGCGCTAAAAGGTTTGCTCAGCGCTGTACATTATAGTGGGGGACAGTACATGAGACAATATAGTAACAATACAATACACGAGGGGTTCGAGGGCCCTGCTCTTTCGAGCTTACAATCTAGGAGGGAGGGGATAGTGGTACAGGAGGAAGTGGCTGTGGGGGATGGAGTGGTAGGAGGAGTGGAGGAGATCGGCTGTTAAGTGAGGGCGGGGTAGGCTTCCCTGAAGAGATGGGTTTTCAGGGTGCGCCTAAAGGTGAGGAGGGTAGGTGACAGTCTGATGGATTGGGGTAGTGAGTTCCAGAGGATGGGGGAAGTCCTGGAGAAGTCCTGCAGTCGGGCATGCGAGGTGGAGACCAGGGAGCTAGAAAGTAGGAGGTCTTGTGAGGAGCGAAGATTATGGGTAGGGTGGTATTTGGGTATCAGGTCGGTGAGGTAGTTTGGGACAGCGTTATGAATGGCTTTGTATGTCTGTGTTAGTAGTTTGAATTTAATGCGTTGGGCAATCGGGAGCCAGTGGAGGGAATGACAGAGGGGGGTGGCAGATGCGGAGCGGTTAGTAAGGTGGATGAGTCTAGCCGCTGAGTTCAGGATAGACTGAAGTGGGGATAGTCTGCGACGAGGTAGGCCGGTGAGAAGGGAGTTGCAGTAGTCCAGACGTGAGATAATAAGGGAGTGAACGAGTAGTTTAGTAGTGTCTGGGGTTAGGAACAAACGTATTTTGGAGATGTTGCGGAGGTGGAGCCTGCATGAGTTTGCCAACGATTGGACATGGGGTTGGAAGGACAGGTTTGAGTCTAGAGTGACACCTAGGACTTTGGCTTGTGGGGTGGGACTGATGGTGGCATTGTTGGTCATGATGGAGAGGGTTATGATCCCTGTTGGGTTGTTTTGGCCATCCCTGTTCCATTGATGATATATATTTTTTTTAAAATCACAAATGACATTTATTAATGTTGAAGTCATACAAATCTCAAAATGACAAAGCATATACAGAATGGTATCAAAGACTCAATCATTAACAAACCGAACAACATAATAAAGAAAACCTTCCAGTGCTATCACTTAGACAAGAAATCCAAGAGTTTCTGCAACATTACAGAGATAACATGTTACAATGCAGTCAGACGACATGGTAATTTTTTCATATACAGGACAATAGGCGTATCCCCACAACAGTAGACCCCCAAGAAAAAGACAGTACCCCGCCCCCCACCAGGGAATGCAGGAGAGGCATAGGTTAGCTTTGAGAAAGTAATAATCAAATTACAATTGAATGTAATTACAACAGCCTATGTATTATTAGATCAAAAGGGGCTAAACCATGAGTGGCCAACCAAGCATCCCAAAGTTTCTCAAATTTATCCAAAACACCCTCTATGCTGGTAAACTAAAAAATCATATTGTAAAATAATAACCATATGCTACTTGCAGTCAGCAACAGTGGGAGGAGTATCCGAGGTCCAGTGCATCAGAAGTGCCTGTAACAAGGCTTTGGAAAGGACTTCTAATATAAATGTATCCTGCGTGCGTTACCGAGTCTAAAATACCCAAGAGGCACTGCTTAGGATCCAGAATTAAATTAGTTTGAAACACAAAATTAAGGGTAGTTACCACCTCCTCCCAATACCTATGAAGTTTTGGACATCTCCACAACATATGTATCCCCATGGTCCCACTTGCATCTGCCACATAGGGGGTCCTGACGTAGCCCCATCATGTACAATTTTGCAGGAGCGTAATGAACCGTAAGTAGAATATACAATTGAGAAATGCAATAGGAATCCAATAACGAACTAAGATGTATGGAATACAAGGCAGCCTCCCACTGGTCATCCTCAAACGTCCAACCATTGATGATACTTTCCTTCAAAAGAAATATATTATATTCCTCCAACGTGAGGCAATCACTGGTTTTCACCAGAGTCACCAGAACTAGTGTCCCTATTGGAAGATTCCCCTCTTTTCCTGTTCTGATGATAACCCAAAAAATGGGATTTTATTTCACATTCATGCTCGGTGATGGCAGTAAACAGGAAAGGGACACAGACAGCAATACAAACATTTAATTAGTATAAATGTTTAAGAATTATTGATATTGGTAATTTTTTTTATATGTGTTTGAATCTAGAAACATGAGAGGAATGACAGTAGAGTTTTTCCATTACCATGTAAAAAAATTACAAAAAAGGCAATGTTGTTAGTGTGCATAGGGAGCTTTTAATAATGATAGCTTATAGTTATATATAGTTACTGTTTTGTAACACTTCCACAGAAACAATGGGGGAAATTTAATACATTCCTTACAACACTTTTCTGATGGTATGGCCTTTAAAATGGGCTTTTCCATATTCAAAAAACCCTGCCTCCAGTTTTGGTAGCTTTACCAACTTGTTCAGTGTATTCATGTAGTTCTTAATAGTGCCACTTTTTAAAAAAGTCACTATGTCGCAACCAAAATAAAAAAAATTACCTCCAGTTAATACATAATGAAACTGGAAATAATAAAACCCAAACTAGGTGTACAGAGACAGGCAAAGTGCCTGTCTAGGTATTCTACTGTGTAACTGAGCACCATGTTTGCCACCACTAACTCCTACTTTTCCCACCTGTTATTGTTTGTAAAGATTCTGTAGGTTTCACATCCGGCAGGTTTCTAGCAACCAGTGATGCTGAGTGAATGGAGCCTGATGGGAAAGCTAAGGGACTAATTCCTCATCAGGTCTGCTCACTATTTTTAATTGACAGTGCTCACTGGGTAGATAATATGGTCAGGATCAGACTGCGTATTAGCATGGTTTTGCCCACTGCCTTCTGTCAATCACAAGGGGATCTGACCTGAGAGGGAACTAGTGTATCTGAATCTCCATCAGGCTCCACCCACCCAACTACAGACCTACAGAAACAAGGAGAGAGCCTCAGCTGAACTAAGGACAAAGTTGCCGTATGGACGCTCTAGTTTCAGTGTGCCACCACATGCAGTGCTGGCAGCAAATTTTTGTACTTCTTATCAAACAAATACATTAATTTGTCACTTGCATTGACATTTTTTGCGTGGAAGCTTGATGGAATTTTAAAGAGTGTAGTAGAAACACTTTATAAATTCCACTGAATGTGAATACGTTCTCAGACTGTCTTTAGTAATGGATTTGCTATGGATGCTGTAGGTGTTAAGAAAGTTATTACATTGTCAGCACTTTTTCTGTATGTATCACCAGGTGACCGGGAAGTACAGAGTAGTGACATGCCAAACCTGAAAGTTCTGGAGAACTTCATCTATGAAAGCATGAGGTACCAGCCTGTGGTAGACTTGGTCATGCGCAAAGCTCTGGAGGACGATGTGATTGATGGTTATTATGTGAAGAAAGGAACTAACATCATTCTGAACATTGGCCGCATGCATAAAGTTGAATTCTTCCCAAAGCCAAATGAATTCAGCCTGGAAAACTTTGAGAAAACGGTAAATCATAAAAAATGGACCAAATCTGGCATTATGGGGTTGATTGAAAAGATCAAAGAGGGGATATCCACATTTGATTGGATGTTTGTAGCAAATAGAGGTACAATACACAGTGGGGTTGATTTATTAAAGTTACATATCCTGTTCACCTTGCAATGGAAGTTGCACTTTGCAAGAGAATTTTCCCTAGAGCTTAGTGAATGAAGTGAAGCTTTGCTGACTTCCATCATCCACTCATATACATTCAAAGTGCAACTTAGCTTGCAAAGTATATAGCCTATTTTCCTTTGGTATATCAACCCCAAGAAGTAGATAGGAGCTGATTTAGTAAGTCACTTGTCATAGTCTGAAAACAGAACTTTACTTATTTTTGGACCACCTGAACTCTTCTTATAATATGTTGGTATGCACATTAAGGACCTTGTTGCTCTATCACTGTGTCTGCCATCTTCTTCCATTCTTCTTCTGGGCCTAGAGGTCTCCTTCCTCTCCACTGACCAGTCATGGATGATGTAACTCCTGCACATACATGGGAATTATGAGGTCCTGGCAGCTGGCTCTTACTCCTGGCAGATACAGATGCCAGGATTATACACTGAGCTGAGCATCCAGGCATTTAGTGTACAAATAGAAGAACTTTTCAAGCAGGCAGGGATAAGGGATGTTTTGCTGATCGAGATATTCAGAATCTCTTCTGCCATAAAAACCTACGTGCTGGCACTTTTTTTTCCAAATGAGACTTTAGTTTTGTTTTATTATTTTAATATCATGTATTTTTTAGCAGTAACACAACCAGCATATTGGTCTTATATCTAGAAACCCCACGAGAATGTAGAGATTAAAATGAAATCTTGTGACCAATACATTTCCTGGCAAACAGTTTATTTTTTATTAAAGCTGTCTTTGCCAAGTAACGGCTAATGTTAAAGAACCGACCAGAATATATATGCTGTCTCTGTGACATTTCAGCAGTTTAAGAGGAGTTATTTGTGGAGATGTGTGAAATCTAGTGTTTTCATTTCCCATAATTTTAGTGGGGTGGTTGCTCTTCATGGTTTTTTAAGGGTGCAGTGAGGTTTTTATTAACTCCTGAGGTTTCTACAGATTCAAATACAGATTCTCCTTTGGATGTTTTCTGCCAAAAATCAAATTAAAAACAGACATTGGAGTCAGTGGAAACAGACAAGAACAATAAAAAAGTAAAGCATCAGTATTTAAATGAAGATTTATTATACATACACAAAAGAAAAAGATACCCAAACACAAAAAATACTATAGGGTACTTGCACACATTATTGATGTATGAACATCAGACTTTCCTGACAGAAAAAAATCACGAGGATGGGCTGTATAGGGCTTGTGTGTGTTTGTGTGTATTTGCACATATCTACGCATATGCATACACACATGTAAATATTATCTAGCTTTGTTTTAGCAATGGAGTGTGTCCTATATGCGTATTTGTGTATATATGTGCATACTGACCAGCAGCGCAGATTTCTGTATCTATTTATTTTTACTGATCTAGACACAGCATGTGATTACGTACCTGTGGGTACAGGTGCATTGAAAACAATGGCCTGCATTTACATCAGTAAAAAAAATCCCCAACCATATGCTTAAAAATACTGCATTTCTAGGCAGCAGTGTGCAAGAGGCCTTGAGAGGCATACTTATAAAGTAGTGGATGCGGCAGTCACCAAACATTTACTATAGTATTCACCAGTGATTGATTCACCACCAGTGAATTTTTTTTTAATAACATCCAATGCTTTATAGATATGCTCCTAGATGAATGACACTACCTAAAATACAGGCAAAAAAAACTCTAAAAAAAAAAAAATACAATAGTAAATATTATTACCTAAGCAGCCCAACGAGCGAAATTGAGAATTTCGTTTTGTGTATCCTGTAGGTCTCCTATATTATATGCATTGCTACCAGTGTTAGTATACTTCCTATCACATGCCAAATGTATATACAGCGAGGAACAGAAGTATTTGAACACCCTGCGATTTTGCAAGTTCTCCCACTTAGAAATCATGGAGGGGTCTGAAATTCACATTGTAGGTGCATTCCCACTCTGAGAGACAGAATTAAAAAAAAAATTCAGGAAATCACATTGTATGATTTTTAAAGAATTTATTTGTCTTACACTGCTGAACATAAGTATTTGAACACCTGAGAAAATCGGTGTTAATATTTGGTACAGAAGCCTTTGTTTGCAATTACAGAGGTCAAACGTTTCCTGTAGTTCTTGACCAGGTTTGCACACACTGCAACAGGGATTTTGGCCCACTCCTCCACACAGATCTCCTCTAGATCTGTCAGGTTTCAGGGCTGTCGCTGGGCAACACGGAGTTTCAGCTCCCTCCGAAGATGTTCTATTGGAGTTAGGTCTGGAGACTGGCTAGGCCACTCCCGAACCTTGCTATGCTTCTTATGGAGCCACTCCTTGGTTATCCTGGCTGTGTGCTTCGGGTCGTTGTCATGTTGGAAGACCCAGCCACGACCCATCTTCAATGCTCTGACTAAGGGAAGGAGGTTGTTGCTCAAAATCTCACAATAAATGGCACCATCCATCCTCTCCTTAATACAGTGCAGTCGTCCTGTCCCCTTCACAGAAAAGCACCCCTAAGCATGATGTTACCACCCCATGCTTCACAGTAGGGATGGTGTTCTTGGGATGCAACTCATCCTTCTTTTTCCTCCAAACACGACGAGTGAAGCTTGGACCAAAAAGTTCTACTTTGGTCTCATCTGACCACATGACTTTCTCCCATGCCTCCTCTGGATCATCCAGATGGTCATTGGCAAACTTCAGATGGGCCTGGACATGTGATGACTTGAGCAATGCATGATTTGAAACCATGACGGCGTAGTGTTCTACTGACAGTGACCTTTGAAACTGTGGTCCCAGCTCTCTTCATGTCATTGACCAGCTCCTCCTTTGTAGTTCTGGGCTGATTCCTCACCTTTCTTATAATCAGTGATACCCCACGAGGTGAGATCTTGCATGGAGCCCCAGCCCGAGGGAGATTGACAGTCATCTTTAGCCTCTTCCATTTTCTAACAATTGCTCCAACAGTTGATCTATTTTCACCAAGCTGCTTGGCAATTGCCCCGTAGCCCTTTCCAGCCTTGTGGAGGTCCACAATTTTGTCTCTGGTGTCTTTTGACAGCTCTGTGGTCTTGCCCATGGTGGTAGCTAGTGTCTGACTGACTGTGGGGTGGACAGGTGTCTTTAAAGAGCTCAGACAGGTGCTACTAAGTTAGATTAATGAGTGGAGTAGAGGTGGACTTTTTAAAGGCACAGTAACAGGTCTTTGAGAGCCAGAATTCTTGCTGTTTCTTAGGTGTTCAAATACTTATGTTCAGCAGTGCAAGACAAATAAATTCTTTAAAAATCATAGAATGTGATTTCCTGAATTTTTTATTTTAAATTCTGTGTCTCAGAGTGGGAATGCACCTACAATGTGAATTTCAGACCCCTCCATGATTTCTAAGTGGGAGAACTTGCAAAATCGCAGGGTGTTCAAATACTTCTGTTCCTCACTGTATAGTGGAACATGCACTAATAGCAGTTGCAGAAAGTATTATTTCACCAAAAGAGTAGATAATGCTTGGAAGAAACTTGCAGTAGAGGTAGCAAGTCAGCCATCCATAAGTGACATTAAAGTGGAGTTCCACTCACGCTGTCAAAAAATAAAAGTCAGTAGCTACAAAAACTGTAGCTGCTGACTTTTAAAAAACAGCCACTTACCTTTCCCTCGGTCCTGCGGTGTGTCCCCCACAGCCCATTTCACCGGCCGTCCTGTAATCCAGGAGGCCGGCATCTTCAGTGTGGGCACCCGGCTGTGACAGCTTGCGGCTTCACAGCCGGGTACCCACTGCGTATGCGTGAGTAGCGCTGCGCTTCCTGTCACGTGTCCCAAAAGACTACAGGGAGGGAGGACACCTTCTGCTTCCAGTGATCGGACCGGAAGTGGGAGCGGGTACCTGTCAAAATTGAGTACCTGCTCCCCCCCACCCCCCAAAGGTCTCAATCCTTAATGGGGAGTGGGGGAGCAGTCCTTAAAGCAGAACTTCCCCTTTTGGGTGGAGTGGAGACATGTTTGGGGCAAGATCTATACTCATACAAAAAAAACCCCAAAAAATAAAGTAAAACAAACAAAAAAGGGGGCAGACTCAATGGAACCACTTGGTCTTTATCTGCTGTCACTCTTCTATGTTCCTATGTTTGAATTGCAAATCTGACCAATTGCTCATACAACCAAATCTTCCATCCTGGCTATCGGACATCTTGTGGATTTCTTTCTAACTTGGAAATTATGGGTAGCACATTCATGACCCGAGTAAGAAAATTACCTTTTTTCCCTGTGATTTCCAGTATACAGAGACTAAAAAAAACTCCTGTCAATGAAACCAGCTATCATGTACATATTTGCACTCAAATTAACTTTTGAAGTTGATTTTTATCTTTACCTTTACATTAAGTAGCTCGTGTTCCATTCATCTTAATGATAAACCCTTCATTAATAACTAGCTACCTTATTATAAATATGTGGATGAATGCACATTCCATAAAAGGCCATTTCATTTATCAGTTAATTGCTTTTATATACCAGAGATGATAGACAAATTACTTTTAGAGTTTTATTTTTTATGGAAGAAGAATTCCAATCACTTCATACTCTGTGTAATAGTAAAAGATATCATAATACTGATTAGAAAATTGAAATAATCTGGCTGCTGTTGCATCCCTCTTTCCTGTAAGTACATGAGACCAGAGATTTAAAGTGTATTTCCACTTTTGCAGCCAAATTGGGATAACACCTACTTTATATTTGTTCATGATCCCATTCATATGGCATAAATTAAAATAAATAGATATCTAAAAATTGATTTTAAACACTTTTTTTTGGAAACTTCAGGACTGGAAAATCCTATTTAGCTTTCATTTCTCTGTAATGTTTATGTGGGGGGTTGGGGAGATAATG